CTTGAGCCCAGGAGTTGGAGGTTGCTGTGAGCTGTGATGCCATGGCACTCTACCCAGGGGGATAGCTTGAGTCTCTATCTCAGAAAAAAAAAAGACCATACCACAGACAAAAATTTAGAGTACTCAAGTCAATGAAGAGCATGTACCCAGGGGAAAAGTAGCTCTAAAACACAGAGCTGCCCGTACAGATGCCCACCTGCCCACATTATGGGTCGCCATGATGTTGAGCACCTCTGTGGCTTTTATCCGGACAACATCGTCAATGTCCTTCAGCAAACCTTTCAGGCTCTCCAGGCAGCCTACAAGGCAAAACAAACAAACAAACAAAACTTAGATGGTTTGCCAGTCCTAGAAACCAGCTTAACCCAGAAGTCAACAGGTGAGCCAACATTAGCCAACAAGAAGGTACCAGAGCTTTTGCTGCTTTGGAGCATAATGGAATCATGTCAATCACACAGCATTCCAGAGTCACTGAAGGGGCTCACACCTGGAGGGACAGTCTTATCTAACCCTCCTGGTGGGAAAATCACTGTTAGGAGAGCCTGAAAGGTTTCCTAACAGTGTCTTCTTTCAAAGGCTGTCACGAGGGGGTTAAGAAAATGGCTTTTGCCATTTCTTTGACCCCAGGAAAATTGTGGAGTCAATGTATAACCCTGTCCCATGCTAATCACATGACCTTGAATGGGTTATACCTAGGCCAAGATTAGCAAGTAAGAATCCTACTTTATTCATTTATCAGGAAAGCCTAGACTCACACCCCTTCCTTGAACCTTGGTTTTCTTATTTATTGGAAGGATGCTCCCCTCCTTGCAGGTGACCACCCTGAGGACTAAGATAACCTAGGCACTACACGTCAGGTAGAGCTGGCCCAGATCAGGCTCAAACAGTATCAACACTGGATAACTGAAGTGTCATCCAGTGTCATGGATGCTAGGACCCTAGTCAGGGTCACTCGAGCTGTACATTCTCACCTATGTTGATGGCCTCATAGACATACTCAGGGTCGTGCATGAGGTCACACAGGGCCATGAGGGCTTTCTGCCTTGTTAGCAGGTCCTCTGACTGCAGCTCCTCGTTCAGCTTTGGCAGGGCCCGACAGCCATAGGCAATGGCAGCCTGGGTGGGGTTGATATCTGGGGGCAAATACATGGAGATCCGGGCATGGGCCATCTTTCCACAACTACAAAGGGCTTTCAAGATGAAGCTTTGCAGAAATCACTAAAAGAACCAAAAAAATTGTTATCACCACTATTGTAAGTTAGAAGCTCCTTCTCATCTGATCTTCAAAACTGTGAGGGCAAGTGAGTGGGTATTTTTACTTCAATTTTATAGATGAGCTAACTGAAGCTGAGAGCAATGAAGACACTTGCTCAAGGTCATAGTGAAGGTAAGTAGCAGCCCAAACTGCTAGAGTTCTAGAGTTCTGCCATGCAATAGCGTTTAAGAAACCATTGATGTGGCTCCGCACCTGTGGCTCAACAGCTAGAGCACCAGCCACATACACCACAGCTGGCACGTTCAGACCCAGCCTCAGCCTGCCAAAACAATGACAACTACAACAAAAAAAATAGCCAGGTGTTGTGGTGGGCATCTGTAGGTAATCCCAGCTACTTGTGAGGCTGAGGCAAAAGAATCACTTAAGCCCAGGAGTTTGAGGTTGCTGTGAGCTGTGATACCACCACACTCTGAGGGTGACATAGTGAATCTTGTCTCAAAAAAAAGGAAAAGAAAAGAAACCACTGATACTTTACAGGCTGGGTCTTCAGTCAAGGACAAAACAAAACAAATCCCAAGATGATCACTCCATTAAGTGCTTATTTGTGCCAACAATGACTAGTATCCAACTTAACTATCCCATAAGGAGAGGGCTTGTATTATCCATATTCTACAAATGGGAGAAATGTGAGATTTGGCCAAAGAGCTTGATGGAGATCGCAGAACTGGTAAGGCAAGGGGCGAAATGTCCAAATCTGAATTTACCACCAGGGACCCATATTCAGATGCTTCTGATACATCCATGAAAAGGAATTGCGTTTAAAGGGTGATTTATTTTTTTCCCACCCACACACACTTTGAGCAGGTATAGGCAGTGTGGGTTATTAGTTAAAAGAACCGGCTCGGGACTCTGGCCATAGGTGGCCCTGGAGAAGTTACGTCCTCTGCAAAGGGGAGAGGATAGAACCCCACCCTCGCTCCCCAGTCGTCACATTAACTGCTACACATGAGTGTGGCACACCAGAGCTCCAGATACGTTGGCTGTGGTTATTATTGTTTTTTGTCGGGTTTGGTCCTATGTGCAGGCTCCCGGCCTGCAGAAATCTCATACCAGAAAAAGACAAGCCGAACTCCGACGCCGGCACCAGTAGGCACCTGAGGCCTGGCTGGGAGGGGCGCGGCCATGTCTGATTGGAACTCCGCTCACAGGCAAGGGCGGGCGCTGCGGACCTGGCCTGCCCTCCTCTAAGGGGCATGAGTCCTACCGGGAGTGATTTGGGGTGTGGGGACGTGGGCCCCGTGTGAGCGGGGCTGGGTGGGTCACGGGGGTACCCCTGTTCCTGGGCCCAGTCCCACCGCCGCCGCCTCACCTGCCTCAACGCTCCCGCTCAGTAGCGCGCGCCCATTGCCAGGCGACCTGGTTGCCAGGCGACCTGGTTGCCAGGCGACCCCGGCAGCGTCTGCTACGCTGTGCTGAGCTTTGCACACTCGGCGCCCACAGCGCAGGCGCAAACAGCTCCGGGCTGGGACCGGCTGCAAAGTGGCAACAATAATACTTTACCCAGTTACCGTGGGGAACAAAGACGTCTTGTTTTGTTCAAGTACAAAAAGGAAGGGAAGCGATTTATTTACGCTTTGTCTGTACTGAGTACTTTGCGCATGCCTTTGATCTAGTCGGGGTCCCGCCCCGGGGGCAGGGTCAGCTAAGACCTGTAGAACTGGTGCTACCGACTGAAGAAATATAAAGTTAGGAACAACTATAAAGAAAGAGATATAAGACACAGAATGGAATTTTCAAAAGTGGGAGCCCAGGGGACTATCTCCCGTTTGTGGTTTTATTTTACTTTTTGCAGTTTTGAGGGAGTTGGAACCCACTACCTACAGCATATGAGGCCGGCGCCCTACTCCTTGAGCCGCAGACGCCACCCATCCGTTTGTGAGCTTCTGCGAGTGGTTCCGAATCTCTGTTCCGCTCAGCTTTTTTTTTTTTAAATTAAATCATAGCTGTGTACATTAATGTAATCATGGGGTACAATATCCACTCAGGTTTGTTTTTTTTTTTTTTT